GACATTTCCATATTAGGAGTTATTTTTATAGGGTTACTGATAGACATAGCCATGGCTGTGAATGGACACTTACAGTTAATCTGGTGTTACTAATTTTACTTAATGAGGTATCATTTTCTTTACTATGTTCACCAGCCTGAAATAGAGAAAACAATTTTCAACCACAATCTTTTCAATCAAGTAGATCTCTTAGACGTTTATTAATTCTATTGAAACCATAAGAATAATAACTGAATTCCAACTCTCAACAATTTTCCCTATGAACAAATTCTTGCCTCATTTGTCTCATGTTTCTTAAAAGATCTTAGAATCAAACTCTGTTACAAAATGTACAAATATCAAACTTAGAACAAAAATTCAACACATGATTTTTTGAAAAAAGAATATTGAGCTTTATGTACTTTTTTCTTTAAATAGACTGAGCTCATGGAGACTTTAAGCTTGTATACAGTATTTATTTACTTACATTAGTTAATGTTTGAGTTGTTGAGATATGCTTTGCTACATTCGATTTACTCTCAGTCTGAAAAATATCAATGTTAATATAAATCTAGTTGAACAGACCTTCAAATGTTTTAAGACATCTGTAACAAGTGCATGAATCATGCAGATATTGCCATATAAATCACACCTAAACTTATAACTCATCTTTATTTGGGGAGATGACTCTACCAATTTTCATTGACATTCTCTCAAATTTTTATTGTGTAAACCAAGGAGTGTGATAACTATTTTCCTATATTTCACATTTAAGAGATTGTGAAAAGGTTTTCTTAATTTTGTATGTGTATCAGGGACACGAAATCATCAATTAGCATCTTCCAATTTTCAGTCAGATGTCTGTGGTTCCTGCAATTCCACTAAAACTAAGTGTTTATCTTAATTCTTAATTGCAAAATATAGGCTTTATCACATAAGGCCCTCCGCAATAAATGATATGGTGGAAATTGATGCTGATACGCATAGAAAATGAAGAAAACCACTTAACAATCCCTTTAAAATCATGTCATTAATGTTTCTATTAACAAATCCAACAACTTTTGTGCCTACTTGAAAAATATGATTTTGCAGTAAACCACCTTTACATATTATTGTTTGATTTATCACAGGCCAAAAGAAGGGATAAAAGCCAACAAAACTGCAAAAAAAATGACAAGTTGCACAGTGGCAGTTTTCTATTGTCAAAATTAAATGTGTTCCCTCCACATACCTTATTAGATTTAGATAGTCCAGAAGTTTTGTTTCTCTCTGCTCTGGTTTTTCTTTTCTTTCTTCTCGCAGTTTGACTATCTTCAGGACTAGGTAAATTAACACTGGGAGAAATCACGATAACTTCATCTTTTTCATCTGAACTTGAAGAATCCAAGGCTCTCCTTTGAATTTTACTTTTTGGCTTATTCTTATTTGTGTTGCCATGACAGAGATGAGTCTTGGAGGTTTTCTTTTCCTGTAGACTTGTGTCTCCTTCTAGATCGCAAAGAAAAACTGGAGACTGGTGAAACAACATTTTGGGTTTGGTCACATTTGTCATACCTTGACTCAAAGGCTATAATTAAAAAATTTAGTGAATGCATCAGTTAGCTATAAAAAAGTAGAAGCTAAGAGATATCCAGTATCCACTTTATAGTTGAATACGGTACAAACTTACATGCACATTGTAACCTATCAGAGATAGTTAGTTCAACTGGACTTATAAGTGAACCCTATTCCAAGATAATCGAACTATCACATGCCAACTGAGATTAGAACCAGCAACCATCATTTGTTCAGCAAAACCAAGCTCCAATTGACTGTGTTACAGATTCCCATATGCATATTAGTTTAATAGTCAAGTTTTCTTGTTAAAACAAATATAAACCTTTCAAAATACGTTCTCTAACATCATTTTTTTGAGTTTTAGTAATACCGCTAGTAGCAGAAATTGGTTTCTTATAATATCTTTTGTTTGGTCTACTCATAAATGTAGTTTGGCAAAATCAAAATATTTCTTAGGAAAGATATATTCTTTTGACATCCATTTGACTTTGTAAGTTCCTACAAAATAAACATCACAGACATTATTAGATTTACCATCTTATATAGTAGAGTAACCTAATTTCGTGGAAACCTATTATTCGTGGATTTCCGGAAAGGATTAATAATTTACATGAGCAACCTTGCTCGACCTCCGCATTAGTTTGTTTTGATAAACATGGGTTTTCTCTACAATATCAGCTAGAATAATGAATTCAGTAGTTCAAGCAAGGTAAAATGTATTAATGTATATTTTGACAAATACAAAATGGCGGATTTCATTTATTACCACATGTCACCATTTTTTATCGGCGGAATTTCCTTATAATCCCAAGCGGTAATCGGAATTCCAAGTGTCGTCTACTAGAATGTAGTCCAACGAATGAAGTCACGTGATCAACTAGCGGATTCCGCGTCAGCAGAAAATTTCTATGGAACACAAAGTGGACCATATTCTTATGTTGTTTCAGTGACTTTTAGCAATAAATCACGCTACGTATCTTATTTTGTCAGTCATAATTTTTTTTTTAAATCATGGTTCTTTGAAGGAATTGTCATTAGTTATAATGAATTGATATTAAAGATAAATACTAAGAGAAGTTAATTATACCACCCGGTATCCATACAACGTGTTTTTCTAGACTTATTTATAGATCAAACATTGTACAAGAAAATAGGTGACGCATTCTGTCGCCGTTGCCGAGTTGGTTGCTCATGAAATATGGGTCAAAGTGAAGGATTCATAATGCAAATCGAAATAAACCGATTTTAATTATTTGGTAATATATCTGAGGAAACACCTAAGACATAAAAAAAAAAAATTTCGTTTTTTTAACTTCGACGTAATTCGGTGTTGAATCCTTATATCCACGAAAATAGGTTACACCACTGTACTTATTTTTATGTTAGATAGGCTATGTTCACCCACCACAGCCACAGCTAAAGTCTAGCAATTAGACACTGCATTAGGCTTAGTACTAGGCCCAGTATACTACATAAATGTCTACTTCAGGTTCTACGCAAAGAATTCAGGTTTCTATCAGTGACATAAGTGTTACCCCACAAAAAAAAAAAAAAAAAACACAACGACTGACGTAAAAAAGTCCATTTTACTTTTTTCAGTCTCAGCCGTACAACAGCAGGCTGTGTGCAGATACTCACGCATTAAATTCTGAATACTTGAATAGAGGCCACTGTGGATCAAAAAAGGCTAGTGATAAAAGGCAACATAAAGGCTAAAGCCTTAGAAAATAATTGTTAGTTTCAGTTTTAAAGGCTAAAGCGTCAAAAATATTTCGGACGTAAGTCACGCCAGTGATAAGGGAGCTAATCAATTGTGTTGTTTCGAACTTTATAAAATATCATAATTATTTCCATACCACAAGATAGCGATATGTATAAAATAGAAAATAGAATGTTTGCAGATTTCGCACTCCATGTTGAAACATTTTGGTGTAAGATATTGAATAATACGAAAGCAAATTTCATTTGCAAATTAACTGGACATGCGTTGTCTCTTAGCAACACCACGCGACAATCGGCGGAAGTTACAATAACAATAACAACAACAGCCAGCATTCTAGATTTTCACTTTTTGTTAGTTTTTTTTTATCACTTTATAGCTTTCGGACAGTAAAATGGCTTTCACAAGAATATCTGCAAAATATCCACCACAAATTGATCCAACTAGAACACCTCTGGCATATGGCGCACGAGCTATTCCCCGATTGGTAAGTTGTTAATGTTGAGATTTGTTTGTTTTTTTTGGTGTCTGAGATTTGACAACTCGCTAGGACCATTATCTTTAGGCTAGTCTTGAAAATATATCTTAAACCTCTTTTTGAAAATAAGCCAAAACTCTCAAGCCAGACATGAAACATGGAATTGAAATGAGTCAAGCAACCCATATATTTTTGCTCTATGATTTAAATTTCCATTGTTAGTTTTAGTGACAAAAAAAAGAGAAAATTTAACTGCCGAGTCTGTGTCTACAATTCTGTCTGAAACACATTTTTTGTAGCCTGTGTGAGCTTATTTTCTAATT